CTAATAGACCTAGGTAGGTATAAGTGATTCCGTAGTCAGTGACCCCTGAGATACAAACTCTTTTATAGTATTTCAGATTAAGATTTTGGACTGGATCAAGATGTAATGTATATGAATGGGAAGAATATACTCAGGTGAATAAGTAATTACTACCATTTGTGGTGTGCTTTCCCTCTGCCGGGTCCTTGCTGGGTCTTTAGCGTGTGGTATTGCTCTCATCGTGACCATACTCATGCACAACTATAATTAGCCCCATTTTACAGATAGGGATACTGAGGCACAGAGAAATAAAGTGGCATTCCCACTGTCATAAAGATGGCAGATGGCGGAGTTTGAATTCTAATTGGAACCCAAAGCTGTGGTTCATTGGTCTCTAAGCAAAGGGGAAAAACTCATTCTAAGACAGAGAGCTTTTAAAATAGGACCTAGATGTTTACAGAATCTCTCTCTTAAAACATTTTTTAAATCCTCACTTTAGCTAAATTCAGGGGTAGGGCAGTTTCTCTAGAGAGGGAAGACTTCTTGGGAGAAGGGTTTATGAATTACCTTCTTCCAGCAAGTGTGAGCCGTGCTGGGCCCTGTCAGAGGCCCTGGATCTTAGTTAAGGCAAAGAATTCAGCTTGACGTCGGCAGTGCCATTGGAAATCAGCCTGATAGGAATCAGCTGCAGTGGATGGCGGGGAAGCTGGCAGCTGGAGAAAGAAAGAGGATCTGGGAGGAGAGACGAAGGATGCTGAGTGGGGTGGGCATGGCTCCTGGGCTGAAACAGGAACGGTTGGGTGAGCTGAGAGCTGGTATGTCTGCACTGAGCCCCCAGGAGCCTCGAGGAGGTAGATGAGACTTGGCTTCCAACAGGAGCCGTATGCCAGAGTGGTTGGTAGGATGAGAATCAGCTGGCCCACCTTCAGCCTCATGTCCCCTGCTCCTAGAGCTCACATGTGGCTTTTGGCCAAGTCTTTGGTTTTCTGTTTAGAAAATGTGGCAGTTGGACTAGATTGCCGTGAAATGCCAGGAGAGAGAGCGCGAGAGACAGCATGAGTTTTTGTGGTTTCCTGTTAGGGATTCCCGGGAAGACACAAGCTGTCTGATCTCAGATTGGGTGGGGGGCTCTCTCCATGGAAAGGGGCTGGCGTCCCCGGCAGATCAGATGACATCTCCACCTCCACTTAGCCCTTTGGTCCTTGTGTTCCGCGGGTCCTCTGATCTCACATTGGCAAAGCACAGCACACACAGGGCGGCTAAGGTGAGCTTCCAGGGCACCTCTTTCCTCCATCCTAGGACCTTCCTTGCAGGTTCCCAGAGGACAGGCCTCCCCGCTACAGCAAATCCCATGCGATGATGTGTCTTTTAGTGTCCATTTTAGGGGATCTTTATTTCTCCTGGGGATCTAGTCTGCTTCCTGCTCTCCCTTAACCATTAGAACAAGAAGACTGGGCATAACTTCTCTTTTTGCATCCGTGGCCAGGAAGCTCAAAGTGAAATCTGGACCTCATTGTTGCCGTCGTGGTTGTGTTCGTGGTCAGGCTGTGATACTCCCTTCTTCCATGGGCCTCAGTTTCACTACATGTCATTTGCAAGCTGCCTTAAAGTTGGTGGGACTTCTCCTGCTTTACCCTTAGGCTGTCCTGCCATGACTTCTTTACTCAAAAAGCTACCCTGTGTTCTTATTTTGCTAACCTTTTGCCTGGATTCAAATGGGGGTGAGAGGTGGGGGCTGCTCCCAGAACCCTCATCACTGGAGTCAGGGGTCAAGTCGCAGCCCAGGCTCTGTCCTGTGCTTACTGGGCAACCTCAGGCAAATCACATACTCTCTCTGGGTTTCGGTTTCTTTCTGTAAAATAATGGGCTGTGACAAAGTCTACCCAAGATCCTTCCCATTCTAGAATTCTGAGAGTCTGTTAGCCCCTGTTGGTAGCTGGCATAAATGTGGGGAGAGTACTGATCAGGGATCCTAAGAACCAAGGCAGAGATCTGAAAAAAGGAGGATCCGATGGGATGGAGGCCTATCATCTTCCCTTTATTGATGCTTTAGAGCGGGAACCTCGGGAGCAGGGGGTGGGAGAGGACTGGCTGAGGCTGACAGCTCTATCAGCCAGAAGCCCAGGGAAGCATATGCTGCCGCCAAGGTCACTGAAGGGCCTCCATCTGCCAGGAGCTACTTGCCAGGCAGCCGCTGAGCTGGGGGCAGCACTACAGCCCCTCGGTTCCCCACACCTCCTCCTGGGTGACTGCAGGGGCAGCCCTGGAGCAGCTGGACAGTGGAGGGGTGGAAACCAGTGTTCCCGCTGCCGCCCCTGCCCCATGGAGGAGGCCTGCTGGGCATTGCCCTGGAGAGTCATCCAGGGCACTTGGCTGGGCAGAGGGTGCCAGTAATTTGAGGGTTGCCCCCTGGGCCTGCTCTGACTTCATCTGAGGTGGTAAAACAGGAGGTGACCCCTTCCAGAAGTAGTGGTAGTAATAGCAAGAAAAGTTCAGTCGTCTAATTGTCCAGGGACTTTCCACATCCCTCCATTCATTACCTTGGTGGGATCCCGAAGAGACGGGCGGGGTCAGGAGGGTGGTTCCCACTGAATGCATGAGGTAGCTGAGACTCCAAGAGGTCAAGGGCCCAGGGTCACAGAGAGGGACCATGTGATGTGGCTCGCAGGAGCCGAGGGTCTCTCCGCGGTGGGCTCTCTCAGCACCTGGGTTGCTGGGTGGGGTGCAGCAGCTGTTAGAAGAGTTGAGGACAGTGGTCCTCACAGTGAGGGCTTCTCCTTTGCCCACAAGGCTGATTGCTAGAGGAACAGAGAGAGACTGACGCTGGTTAGGGAGGAGCATGTGAAGAATTTCTTTAACGATCTTCCTTGCTCTGCTCACCTCCTGTTTCTGTGGCGTCCTGCCTTTATGGAAGCACGCGGAGACTCTGATCTCCACCATGGTATTTTGGAGTCTCCCGGGAAAGCGCATTTTTTCTCTTTTATGCAGCGTAATGATATGCGTCCCAGGTCTGTCGTATTATGATGCAGCAGCCCACGACCTTGGGTGACTCGAAGCCTCTGCGGCTTCAGCTTTCCCATGTGTCTGATGGAACAGTTTCCGCCTGGCCTCCCGCCACAGGGGATTTCTGAGGATCAGATGGGGTTGTGGATATGCAAAACCTTCAGAAGGGGCAGCCTCAGTCGACACTAGGCAGCGCCTGGCCCAGCCGCCTGAGGTCGGGGAAGGGCTGGTTCCAGCTCCTGTTCTGTCACAACTTGCTGAGCCATCCTAGGCAATTCCCTTCCCCTTTCTGGACCAGGCCTGTCCTTTTACAACTGTTCATTCACAATATATATTATATAGATTTTTTAAAATTGTTTTTTAGGGGCCGGCCCAGTGGCGCAGTGGTTAAGTTTGCACGTTCCGCTTCGGCGGCCCAGGGTTCACCAGTTCAGATCCTGGGTGCAGACATGGCACCGCTTGGCAAGCCATGCTATGGTAGGCGTCCCACATATAAGTTAAAGGAAGATGGGCACAGATGTTAGCTCAGGGCCAGTCTTCCTCAGCAAAAAGAGGAGGATTGGCAGCAGTTAGCTCAGGGCTGATCTTCCTCAAAGAAACAAACAACAACAAATAGAACTGCTAGGTCATATGGTAATTCTGTTTAACTTTTTGAGGAATTGCCAAACTGTTTTCCACAGAGGCTGCACCATTTTACATTCCCACCAGCAATACACAAGGGTTCCAGTTTCTCCACGTCCTCGCCTGTACTTGTTAATTGTCCGTCTTTCCGATTACAGCCATCCCAGTGGATGTGAAGTAGTATCTCACTGTGGAAAATGTGTATGACAGAGATTTTTAACCTGCAAAACCCTTTATAAGAAGTGGTTTTACTTCAGACCTTCCGTGTGCAGAAGAGAGCCAAGAGGAGCCCTTCAGGTGAAATGGGAAAGGGGGCCGGAGCCTACCCCTCAGCAGGTCCCAGAGGCAAGGTCTCTGGGTAGTTTGAAGACCACTGGGCTCGAGGTCCTCCAAGCTCTGGAATCCAAGTCTAACCACCAGAGGCTTCCTGAGGAGTGGCCGCCTCAGCCCTCCATGCCATCGCAGTTGCTCTGGGAAGCCCTCAGATCATTTGGCTAAGCTGTGGGGCTGCCCTACGACTGTGCTGGGGTTGCCACAGGGATGAGAGGGAGTCCGATGGCTCCCATCTGTGGTTCCAGCTCTGAAGGCAACTTGCGCAGGCACAGGAAGCGAGCTGGAGAAATGCCACCGCTGCCTCCGTTCCCAAGTCCAGGAAGAACGGTCCTGGGGTTTGCTGACAGTGTGGAGAAGCGCTGCGGCTTCACAATGTTGTCGTGAAGCCAGTGGAATCGCCCTCCCAGCGCTAATGCCCTGGGAGCCAGAGTACGGCTGCTGGCACGCTCCCAGGCTGGTCCGCCATCTCCCACTTCTCTCTCTGTGTTAGCATTCTAGCAGCATCAGGCACTCTGCTGTTTGACGGGCAGAATGTTCTGCATTCTCACGTTGCCTTGGCAGAGGGAGGACCCCTCCCAAGTTCTGTTCTTTTGGTTGCGAGGCTCTGCTGTCCACAGCTGTCAGAGGTTTGAGTCATCAGACACAGATTGTTCTGTTCCCTTGGGTTTAGGTTAGCTTTCTTCTTTTATTGATGGCTGATGCTTTGCAAATAGACGGTTTACAGTACATACAGCGACTTTCACTTAGCTAGAATATTAGATTAACCGGCTTTCTCCCCCCTTAACTTGTTGATTGAGTAAAATGCCACAGTGTCTCTTTGAAGAATGCAGCTTCCTACTTTTACAGATGTGAAGACTGAAGCCCGGGACTTCTAGTAATTGGAGTCAGGGAGGAAAGCGTCAATTGGAAGTCCATCATTTCATTAACGGCCGTAGAGTCACAGAATGTTGGATCCAGAAGCACCTTAGAGACCGTCTAATCCAACCCCTTGGTCTATCAAACATGCCTGTTTAAACCATTGTGTTACTAACAGTTGTGTGTTGATTGTGTTTCTTTCTGTGAAGTTCCCCAGAGGGTGGTGTTCCATGAGCATCAGCCCAGGGCATGGCATGCTAAGTGGGCAAGACAGTAAGTGACCCGAGACGTCCCAGGAGGAAAGGGCTGCAGGGCGGAGCCCGACAGAAAGCGTGTGATGTCTGCATGAGGACGGGCAGGGACGGTGCTGCAGGCTGGGCAGGCAGCCTGTGCAGATGTGGGAGCCACTGACAGGGCTTTCCCAGGGGGTCAGCACGCAGCTGAGAGCAGGTCAGAAAGGGTACAAGTGAGAGGGCCTTGAATGCTAGGATCAAGAGTTTTGTCCTAATTTTTACTTCCCTGGGGGCATCTGATGAATTTTGAGGAGTTTCCAGGCCCTCTTCTCCGTTGCTCCTTCTGTCGCCCCGACCCAGGCCCTTCTAACGGGTCTCCCTGACTCTCTTCTTGTCCCTTCCTGGCCATAGTCCTTGAAGTCCCCCTCCCAGAGGCTTTCTAAAATTCAAATCTGATTGTGTCTCTCCCCATTTTAAAGTCCTTCCACGGCTACCTGTTGCTCACAGGACAAGATCCTGGCTTGTGTGGCTGTGTGGCCTGGAGCCCCCTCCTTCTGCAACCTCACCCCCACCATGCCTCCACCTTCACCAGGTGCCCTGGTTTACTGAGCAGCCTTTTTGCCCAGGCTGCTCCTTCCTTCCCACTTACTTTCTCTGCCTGGTGAACTCCTATTCATCCTTCAAGACCCGGTGTAAATTTCTTTTTGGAGAAGCTTTCCCTGACCCGCCTGAGGCCAACATCATGCCTTGAAGGTGTTTCTGCTTTGAAGCTCACATTGTGTTGTAATTCTCTACTTCCAAAATACTGGGTAGCTCCCATTTGTGAGTGTTTGCTGTGTGGTGGGCCCTGGGCTAAGCCCCATGCAGGCATTACCCCATGTTATTCTCACAGTAACCATATGAGATGTGTTCTATCTTAGCTCCACTTACAGATGAGGAAGGTAAGGCTCAGAGGAGTGGTGTGACTTGCCCGAGGCAGGCAGCTGGAGGGTGACAGAGCTGGGATTTGAGCCCAAATCTGTCTGACTCTATCTCCACGTCCTTCCATCTCCTGCTCCCTGGATCCTGCTGTATCCCCTCGACCCCTGTGAAATGCCCTCAGGAGATGCTGGGCGCGTGAGGGAGTGGAAGCAGTGGGTTGCCATGGTGCAGCAGGTTGGGGAAATGGAGGGAGGCTGGAGAGAAGGGGCTGGGTTTACTCTGGGTCCAGGTGGTGAGAGACCATCAGCCCAGCCCCCCACGGCTAAGCGTTTCTTATCCACCTTCTGTTCCAAGTGGCAGCTTCTGGCCACCTGGGGCCAGGCCTGGGGAACTCCAGACCGAGCAGGCACGCCATGGCAACCTGCCTCCTCTCTGGGGCCTAGAAGGGAGGGAGGACTGGAGAGAGTACAGGGTGTACACTGAGGCTTCTGAGCAGGATTCTGGAGAGGCAGGTCGCTGAGGGCCTGGGTGGCTTCTGCCCTCCCATGAGGGACCCCAGCCTGCAAGTTCTCGTCCCAGCAGGGGAAATGTCACTTCCACCTCTGTCCCGGATGAATGGCTGGCTCTGGCCTCCCAGGAGACTATCAGCTCCATCCAGGTATAAATGCTGTCCCCTTCTCACCCCCGGGCTAGAGAGGAAGGAAGAGACAGCTCAAAGGAGTGGGGGCTGGAGTTGCCAAACGAGGTAGGAGCTGGGACAGCCAGGACAAAGCCCTCATTGTCCCAGGGCCATAGGCAGCTCCCTGGCCAACCGGGCGTCTTGCCTGCCTCCCAGGACCCTCCCTAGAGCTCCACCTGGACTTTCCTAGCTCCTCAGCAACACTCGCCCAAGCTGATGTGGAAAAGCGAGGCCTGTCCTCCCATCTGAGCCCTGCCTCCACTGAGAAGTCCTGCTGAAGGCACAGCCTCCTCTTTGCATCCTCCCAAAAGCCAGGAGGGAGGGAGCGGGGGTGGGAAGATGGCTGTGGAAGCCAGGCTGACTGGGGCTAGAACCCAGGGTCTGCTGGGCCTGCGGCTTTGTGACCTTAGGCCCAAATGTGCCAGCAAACCCTGCCTTGAGGACAGCTGTTTGATATAATGGGCCGAGGCTCACAAAAGTGTTCGTTGTGGTTGCCTGGCCACAGAAGGGTTCATCAGTGGCAGGTGATCCTTGAAGCCCTGGCCTACACAGGAGGAAGGACGGTCACCCCTGCCCCCCACACCCCACCTGCTCCTTGTCAAGGCCCTGCTGGGCCCAGGAGGCAGTGAGACGTTGGTGGCTCTCCTGACAAGTGTAGGGGTGCACCATTGTCCCCCCGCCCCTGTTCCGTGCTTCCTCCTCCAGGGGCCAGCCCTGCAGTCCAGGAGACCCTGCCTCGGCAATTGGGCATGGGCGTGGGACGCGTCACCAAGCTGGGGCGAGTAGCTCGAGTGACAGGAGTGGTGTCGGCAGCTCCTGCACCCGACACCTCCGGGCAGACAATGCTGGCTGTGTCTGGGCCCTCTGGGGGAACAGGCCACACTCTGTGTCACAGCCAGGAAACAGGCCACCTGAGCAGCGCCTTTCTTGGCTCAGGAGGCAGCCCCGCCGCTGGTCAGGATGACCAGGCTCCCCGGAGGCCCTGACGCGGGAAGGGGTGGTGTCCCGGGCTGGGGACTCAGGGTTTGAGATCCAGCCCCTCAGCATCTGGTGTTGGCCTGGTTCAGGGTTGGCCCTGCCACACATGGGGGTGTGACTTGGGCAAGTCCCCTCCCTCTCGGATTCCTCATCTGAAAAGGAACGATCGCAACGCTTCCTCATAGGCTTGTTGGGAGGAGTCGATGGCGTAATGTACGTAAAGCGCTTGGCTGGGGGCCTGGCGCAGAGCGGGGCTCAGTGAGTGCTTCTCTCCCAGCATGAGGGAGGGTCCAGGGCACAGTGTCCTGGGCTGACCTGTCACCCAGGCTGCTGTCCTTAGTCCCTGCTCTGAGCATGCCAGGAGGGGACTGGAGTCTCTGGAGCTGGCACAGGACTAGCATGTTGGCTGCAAAGAGCCCAGGCCCCTCCGCCTTGGACTCCAGGAGCTGATGCCCAGTGTGGGCCTCTTCCCCACAACGGCCAACACCCAGCCCAACACGGGGCCTCTCTCCTCCTTAAACTCCCATAGGGCTGCGCTTGGAGCCCAAGGCCTCACCCAGGAAAGGGGCCTAGGGACTCCTGGGCAAGAGCCAGAGGGCCCGAGTCCCCCTACCCACCTGTCAAGAGGGCTGATGATGGGTCTCTGTAATCATGGTCACTTCCTACTGGGTCCAGCCCACCAAGATACCCCAGGGGAGGGCTTCTGCTCCCATCCTCATCCGCTTTGAGCCTATGCCCTGAGTTCCTGGTGCATGTCAGAACCAGCACGCGTATTTGCATGGATGGGTGTGGGCATGGCTGTGGGCAGCATGTGTGCTGGAGGGCCTGGCTGCATGTCCTGCATTGTGGGCAGCCCCCTGAGCACGTTCACTAAGACTTGTGTGACACAGCTCGGAATGGCAGAGACATGGTCCTTTTGTGTTCATGTGTATCCATATGTCTTTCTACACGTGTGTGGTATGTCGGTCTGTCTTGTCTCCCCTGTAGACGGGAAGCCCCGAGCCACGCATCAACGGGCACTCTGGGAAGGTGACGTCGAGACTAGCCCAGACCAATTTGGGGTTCCTGGTTTTGCTCCAGGAGTCCTCCAGCCTGCAGCCCCTGCTGAGGAGGGAGGATTGACCAGCACGGGGGTGGGGGTCCAAGTGTCAGGGACCCTGGGGGTGCCTGGCTTGTAGCGTGGAGGACTCATTGCTGCGCTGGTGGTCAGGAGGCCCCGCCCTGATGCCCCTGTGACCTCGGGCAAAGCCTTTGCTCTGTCTGGGGCCATTCGCTCATCTGGAGAACGTGGGGTTGGACCAGTGAGTTCTGGCCACCCCTGAGGCTCTGACCATCGTGATTTTAAGTCGGGTGGCGGGAGCCTGCTAAATTCGTTGGTGGAGGTGGCTGTGGCCAGAGCCCGGCCTGCCAGACCCTCTCTTGGTCCCGGGCTGTCCTGCTGAAGGGCGAGAGGAGAAGCCATGCCGGGCAGCGGCCCCAGCGAGAGGATGACGTGGCCCGGTCCGGCCCTCCCCGCGGCCCCCCCAACGCGCCCTCTCTCCTCAGCCCCGGGGACACCACCCATCCCGCCCCTCACCCGGACCCGCAGCCTCATGGCCATGTCCCTGCCGGGCAGTAGACGGGCCTCTGCTGGATCCCGCAGGTGAGTCTACCCCTTCTCAGAACCTTGGCCTCAGAGGGCGGGAGGAGAGGGGGTCTCTGTCCCCACTCTGCCACCGACTTGCCGTACGTCTTTGGACAAACCTTTTCCCATCTTTAAAATGGGCTTGCTAATACTCGCCTGCTCCTGGAACTCTTTGAGGGCTCACATGACACAGTGGATATAAATATTCTTGGAAGAATTAAGCTGTTGGATGCCCACCATCCTCAATGTTGCTGTGTGGTCTTCACAGTTACTGGAGGGGTGTCCCGCAATCTCCCGCTCAGGCTCATTCGGCCTCCCTTGACTTCAACCCCCGTGTGCCCCTCCTCCTGCCTGCCCCTTTCCTTTCCACGTCTGTCTCAGTCCCTGCAGGGACCTCCCCCTCTGGGCTTGGGGACCCTAGAAGTCAAGGACCCTTGGTAAGGGCAGGTGGGGCCCCGCCCTCGGCCCGCAGCCCTGCCCAGCGTCCTTTCTTGTCCTGGGGAGCCAGGAGGACCAGCCTCCTTCTGGTTTTCCATCTTGATTTGCACTGTCTGTTCTGTCACCCCTGTCTGTGCGTCCCCCCTCCCCTCTGCTTCTCTCCCCGGCGGTGACCCCAAAGTGGGGGCCCTTTGGGCCGCAGCGGCCTGGCGGTGTTCGCGCAGTGTCCGCAGCTGCCCGCCAGCCAGAACGAGCACCTGCCTCTTCTTCCCGCCTCCAGGCGCACCTCTCCGCCCGTGAGCGTGCGGGATGCCTATGGCACCTCTTCTCTCAGCAGCAGCAGCAACTCGGGCTCCTACAAGGGCAGTGACAGCAGCCCCACGCCCAGGTAACCAGCCCCTCCCCTCCACCTGGCCAGCCCCGCTGGCTGGGAACCTGGGTGCCCTGGGGGTGGGGAGAAGGTGGGTGTTCTAAATGTCTCGACTCCAGCACACTCCCTGGCTGTGCGACCTTGAGCAGGTCACTTCTCTCCAAGCCTCAGTTCCTATCTTTAAGATGGATGTGATAATACCCAGCTGCACGTGACCTGATATAGTGGCTTAGACACACTAGGGGTGACGCTTTCAGAGCAAGGGGCCAGAGGCAGGCAGCTCCCGCAAGTGTAAGGGACGCTGCCTCCTGTCTTCCTGCTCCACCATCCTTGGTGTACAGCTTCTGTCCTCATTGTTACAAGATGGCTCCTGCACCTCCAGGCATCAGGTTGGCATCCAGGAAGGAAGAAGGCAGAAAGGCCAGGGCCCTCCCCACTCCCTAGAGGCTGGTGTTTCTCAGAAGGGACACCCTCCCCAGGGAACTCTGTCTACCCCTTGCTGGCTGGAACTGGGGGACGTGACTGACCGGCTGCTCCTGTTCTCCCCGGTGCAGTGCCACCGCAGACAAAGCTGGAGTTCTGTTGGGAAAAAGGCAAGAATGAATGTCGGAAGGCAACTTTCGAGTCTGCCATCTTGCTCTTCTCAGGGCGGGGCACTGAGGGTGGGAGAGGTGGGGTTGGTTTAGAAAGCACAGTGTGTCTCGAATGCAGCCTGTGTTAAGTGGTACTCTCAGGAAAGGTGCCCGAGACTGAAGATGAGAAGCAGGATCTGGGTTGGGGAGACAGGCACAGGGGAGCTGTGGGTCCTCGAAGACCGGGAAGGAAGAGCTGTGATGGCCACGCCCCATCCCGTTTTCCGTTTGAAATACAAGGGGAGGTGGGGCACGTGGGCGTGGGATGCAGTCACTTCCTGTCTCTGAGTCTGCATTGCCTTATCTGTAAAGTGGAGTGAACAACCCCGGAGGCTTCAGCGAGTTCTGCACCTGCCGTACACTGCCAGGGGCCCGTAGCGTAACCGCATCATTAGGAGGCACAAGAAGGCCAGGAGACTGGCTTCAGCTCCCCTCGCCGGAGCACTGCCCAGGATGGCTTGTCTTGCCTCTTTCAACAGAGACCGTGTCATGTGTGTGAAGTGATGTCTGGATCCTGCTGAGGCAGCAGCTCTCAGAATTTTCCACCATGACACCGTGATGGGTGACACATGTATGCAGGAGCATACCCCAGCTTCTTGGCCATAACCCCCACCCCCTAGAACGTGGGGGGCATGAGTGAGGCTGATGCCTTCCCTGACACTTTGAAAAGTATACAGTTGGCAACTTTAATACTTCTTCATTAGTAGCAGATTTTTGTAATGCATGTCATAACTGCCCTCGGGGGCAGTCCCAACCCTGAGGCTGAGAACTGTGCCATGCAAGGGTCTTCTTGCCCCCCATGAGAGGCACTGCTGCTGGGGGCATCAGGCCCTCGCTGTGGCTTCACAGTAAATAGCCAGGCATCCCAAGGCGTGAAGAGCCAAGAAACGTGAGTGATAGTATAGTTTTCTTGTTATTTATATGTCCGTATTATTTTCCCCACAAAGATAGAGCTAGTGACTAAAAATGTATGAATGTTAAGTGTTATATTGGGAAAAAACACCCATAAAAGCTAGTGGAAAAAGTTAAAATCGTTCCTTCCTCTCTAATCCTCTCCTCTTCCTGGTTTATCCAGTCCTGGCCCCTCCACCCCTGGGCTTGGGGGAACACCCTTCTTACTCGCCGCAGACCTGCGCCCCTCTGCCGAAGTCCTGGCAGGGTCCCGGCTGTCTGCAGGACTAGTGCTGGGCTGTCTGAGGTCCACACCCTTGCTGGCTGGCTTCTCTTTTAGAAGGAGATTTCATAGGAATCCCTTAGCTCCCAGCCCACACCACTCCTCTGCCCCTCGTTGCATGGAAAACCGGCCTGCATGGAGCTTGAATTTGAATGTAGGGACCATGAGGCGAGTAAGTAGAAGAGAATCATTTCTCATTCTCTCCACTTCCGTCGCCACTTTCTCTTCGACAGTTTACCATGTACAAATACGTTCTCCTCAATAAACGTTAGACAGCGTCCACAACACTTTTGAAACTGCCTCCAACTTGGCTGCTTCAGCAAATGGGCCTCCCCAGGGCCTGTCTTTTCCAGGCCCATAAAATGTCATTGCCCCTCCCTAGTCCTGGGGGTCCCCATCCCCTAAAGGAGCAGAGCTGGGTGACAACAAGGCCTCTGCCAAGTTGTGTGAGAATGTGCCCAGGTTTTTAAGCCCAGATCCCAAGGGGTTTCTTTGTGAGCAGAACAACCCACAGGCAGGAAGCTGGGAGTCTAGGAGGCCAGGCCACAGTCTGTGGGTGGAACTGGGTGCTCCCCTTCCCTGGGTGAAAGCCTTGGCATCCACCCCTCCTCTACTGGGTGGAGGTTCCTCCTCCTCGCACTGGGGGGACCAGGGTGTGCTCACTACATGCACGCCTGTGCCGCCTGGTGCTGGGGAGCATGTGGCTGCGGGCAGCAGTGAGTGTACAACCTGCTGCCACCTCAGGGCACAGCTGTTAATGAGTGGATGCCCAGAGCCAGCAGGCGGTCACACATGTGCTTGAGTGTGCCCCTCCAGTGCACATGTGTACATGCAGATGGAAAGGGTCTGCATGCATTTGTGTGAAGGCGTGCATGGGCTGGTGTCCTAGTATTTGCGACTGCCCATGAGGACGGCAGCAAGATGGTGGGTACGCGCTGGCACAGGTGTGTGCACACGAATGTGGGCATGCAGGCACAAATGGACCGAGAATCAATGTACTCAGATGTGCACTCCAAGTAAGTGTGCGTGTGCATGTAGTGCAAGCCCACGTGTATGTGAGGACAGGTGAGGAGGGCATCAGAGTGTGATGGAGACAGCTGTGCCTGCACACACCCGTCTGCCCTCCCTGTCCCCGTCCTGGTCCTGCAGACCAGGCTGTGAGGGCTCTCAGCTCTGGGAGATGTTTCCTCCTGCACAAGGGAGAGTCCTTGTCATCATGCAGACCCCCCACGCGGGCCCTGGGAGACTTACGGGGAGAGGGTGGCCTCTCCCACCCCAGCCTCCAGCCCCCAAACTCGTCCTCTGGGTTGGGAGACTGGACACCTGAGCTCTGGAATGCACCACTGGGACTGGATTGACAGAGATGGTGTTGGTAGAGTGCCCGGCTTGGTGCCAGGCTTGTGCACATGCTCTGTAATCTGTTTCCCCTCCAGCTAGAGGAGCCCTGAGCCCCCTACCCTGACGCCGTGGTCCTCACTCAGAAGAACTACAGTAAAACCCGCCTTCCAGAAGGGCTGGTGCTCTCCTGCCCACACGGGCCCTGTGGGGGAGGCCTGGCCTGGAGCCCGCTGGTGGCCAGGGAGCCTGGATGGTTAGGCTGGCGTCCCCTTGCTCCCTGGAGGCACAGGGCCTGTGCCTGGCCAAGCTCTTCCTCCCTGCCCACTGACAAGCCTCCCCTTGCAGGCGCTCCATGAAGTACACACTGTGCAGCGACAACCATGGCATCAAGCCGCCCACCCCGGAGCAGTACCTGACCCCCCTGCAGCAGAAGGAGGTGTGCATCCGGCACCTGAAGGCCCGGCTGAAGGACACGCAGGACCGGCTCCAGGACCGGTGAGCGGGCAGCCCCAGGGCAGCCTGGGACACACCACAGCTCCACATCAGAGGAACCAGGGCCCTGGGGCCTCTCTGGGAAAAATGAGTGGCTGGGGCCTCCTTCCCAGCAAAGCCCCGTTGGAGCCCATTTCTTGAGCCCCAGCCCATCCCTGTCTTCCCCTCAACTCTCCTTGACTGTGCGGGATTGCTGCTTGGGGCCAGGCTGGGAGCATGTCCCCGTGAGGGCCTTCGGACCGCCCCCCAGCAGTGCTCTCCCCGTTTTAGCCTGGCAGCCCCTTGGGGCCACTTCTTAGCCTGTGGCTCCTTTTGTCCTGGGGGTAGGAGTGCAGGGCGTTTCTCCTGGCTTACCTGCCCTGTGGGGACAATCTTTGGCTCTCCTTTACTTCCTCCCAGCGAGTCACTGGGGGCTCTTGGCCCACCAGCTCAGGCCCCAGAAGCCTTCCTTCTCATCTGCTTATGGGTGTACGATCATGAGGAATCTTTCTCTGAGCTCCTGCCCCGCCCAGGGGTCTGTCAGGAGCCTGCGCAGGCTCATCGGAGTGCATTCTCCAAACCTGAAGGCCAATCCTAACCCCCCAGCCTCTGCCTCTCCAGGCTGGCAGCTTCGTCTTGATGGTGGAAGCTTCAGGGCTGCCGTCTGATCTCTTCTTCATCTTAACCACCCTTCCCAGACTCTGTCAATTCAGATACACAGCCAAATGCGAGCTGGACGAGGCGCTGTGCGGGGCACTGGAGGTCAGGGCAGGCCACCCCAGCCACGTCTTCCTATCTTTTCTTTTTATATATATATAACAGTTTTATTGAGATGTAACTCACATACCATCCAATTTTTTCTTCTTCTTCTTCTTCTCCCCAAAGTCCCCCAATACATAGTTGCATATTCTAGTTGTAGGTCCTCTGGCTCTGCTATGTGGGACGCTGCCTCAGCATGACCTGATGAGCAGTACTAGGTCCGTGCTGAGGATCCAAACTGGTGAAACCCAGGGCCACTGAAGTGGAGCGCACCAACTTAACCACTCAGCCACGGGGCCGGCCCCCACATAACATACAATTTGATGGTTTTTATTATATTCATAAAATTGAGCAACCATCGCCAGTATCTGATTCTAGAACATTTTCATCACCCTGAAAGAAACCTCATTCCCAGTAGCATTCATGCCCCAACCACCCGAGTCCCTGGCAGCCACTAACCTTTCTGTCTCTCTGGATTTGTCTGTTCTGGACATTGTGTATAAATGGAAGCATTCAGTATGCATGGCCACATTATCCTTGACCAGAGGTCTGCCAAATGGCCAGTCCAGTTTGGATTTGTTGTGGTTTTGGAGTGCAGAGGTTCCAAGTGGCATTCTGTGGGCCTCCTAGTCTGTAGAGCTGGGATTTCTACTTTTATTTCCCATCGTCTTCTCAGTGATATCCTGGGTCAGCTTGGCCATTTGCACTAATGTCCTCAGGAAGCAGACAGCCCATCTCCCAGCTTCCTTTCGAGGGCTGCCCTGGCGGCTCAGAGCTGACCATCTGCCTGCATGGTTTGGGCGGATGCCCTGTCATGGACACGCCTTGCACCTCAGCCCCCTGGCCGCTCTCTGCCTGCTACACCCACAGTTCTTTCCTGGCTATGTGTCACTCTCCGCACACTCTCTGGATGTTGCATTTGATCCCTGTCATCCCCACAGGGAAGGAGCCTGCCTGCTCCTCAGAGATGCGTCTACACTCTGTGCCTTCACAGAAGGGTCTCCACTTCCTGAGACGCCCTCTCCCCCATCTTGCTGCCTTGGCAAACATCCTTCAAGACCCAGTTCAAATGCAGTGTCCTGCAGCCCACTGAGACCTGGACAGGGCTGGGAAGCCATAGGTCCCTGGGGTCCTACTGGCTCCAAGGAGATGGGGCGAGAGCAGCTGAACTGAGCATGCCCAGCTCCTCCTTCCTTGGCATCAGTGAGGAGGGGGAGAGAGACGGGAGGTTACCCTGGAGTGAGCCCCTGCACCGAGGCAGGAGGAGTGAAGAACAGGCATCCTGCATACCTGTTGGCATGTCTCTTATTGCCACTCTGAGCAGCTCTGGTCCCCGCAGCCATCCCACTGCCAACCCTGAGCTGTATCAGGTTCAGCAGTCCGTCCCCTTCCAGACCATGCCATGTCCGACCTTCATGGCCACTGCAGCCCCTCAGTCCCAGTCGCTTCAGCGAATTGTTGCATGAGGTTCCTGGGGCATCTCCTGAACAGAATTTCCCACCTGACTGAAAAGTACGTGGTGCTTGATCTGGGTTGGTCACTCTGCCAGGTCTGCAAGCCCCAAAGTGACAGTCGTGCCTTTTGTGGGTTGTATTTACAAGAACGTAGGGTTGGGCTGAGCGGCTGCGTGTGGGCTGGGTCACTAAGAAATGTGCAGGACGAGGGCCACGGGGCAGGATTTCCTCTCTTTTGAGTGATTTTCCTCCTCTCTCGCTGCCTTTAGTCCATCTTGTCCAGTCTTGCCCTGGGTTTACCTCTGGACTCGATGGCGTGTTTTTCTAACTTGTCTCCCTCCCCTGTGCCCCTGGATGCATCTATGACTCAGGGATTTAAAAGCCTGAGTGTTTCTGCATGAGTCTTCCGACTCTCTGCTCTGCCACAGCTCACCCCTCCTCTCAGGAGCAGCTCTGTGCCTTTCCTGTCCATCTTTTCACCCCATCCTCTTTGCAGTGGATACGAAGAGGAGATGTCCAGCATGGATAGAAGAGAGACAGGCTGTTTTCATCATTCTCCTCTGATTCATGCCCCCACTGGAGGGAAGACGTAAAATTACCAGCTTCCCCCCTACATTGAAGGCCGTAATTTCTCTCATAAAAACAAAGTGGTCCACCGCCCTCTCCCCAGGGCTCTCTGGCCAAATAGCCCTTCATTTCAAATTTCCACAACCAGCTGGAGTAAGAGGCCACATCCCTTTCTGTAGAGCAGAGATTTTAGCTTTAGTTTTTATTGTTTTATGTTAAGATATATTAGGTTTTTATAGCAGTAGCATTTTTAAATTGAGAACTGTTACTGACTAGTCTCTTCCTCAGGTCATAGATTTCCATGTGGACGGTCATGTGCATTTCGGCCCCTAAGGGTGGGAATGCGGTGGGGTCTCCTGTCACCATTTCTTCCCCCCATCCTGGAGGCCTCTCCTGTCTTGACCCTTGGCCCCCTCTCCTGCCCCCTCTCAGAAGAAGGGAGGAACGTTGAGCCCTTCCTTTTGTTTTTAGCTCTGAGCGGCCGCAGCACAGGCCCTCTCTCCTTGGTGACAGCCCCCTCCTTGCCTGTCCTTGGTGATGGTGACAGGCCAGGCAGTGAGCGTGGGTGTCTCCTCTGCTCACAGGGACACAGAGATCGATGACCTGAAGACGCAGCTGTCGCGCATGCAGGAGGACTGGATCGAGGAGGAGTGCCACCGGGTGGAAGCCCAGCTGGCCTTGAAGGAGGCCCGCAAGGAGATCAGGCAGCTCAAGCAGGTCATCGACACGGTCAAGAACAACCTGATCGACAAGGACAAGGGGCTGCAGAAGTACTTCGTGGACATCAACATCCAGAACAAGAAGCTGGAGACGCTGCTGCACAGCATGGAGGTGGCTCAGAACGGCATAGCCAAGGAGGACGGTGCCGGGGAGTCGGCTGGTGGGTCCCCCGCCCGCTCCCTCACCCGCAGCTCCACCTACACCAAGCTGAGTGACCCAGCCGTCTGCGGTGACCGTCCCCCTGGCGACCACCCTGGCACCTCCACCGAGGATGGGGCTGACAGTGGCTTCGCAGCAACCGATGACACACTGAGCCGGACGGACGCGCTGGAGGGCAGCAGCCTGCTGTCATCTGGGGTGGACTGTGGCCCTGAGGAGACCTCGCTGCACAACTCCTTCAGCCTGGGCCCCCGCTTCCCCGCCAGCAACACCTACGAGAAGCTGCTGTGTGGCATGGAGGCTGGCGTGCAGGCCAGCTGCATGCAGGAGCGTGCCATCCAGACAGACTTCGTGCAGTACCAGCCTGACCTGGACACCATCCTAGAGAAAGTGACCAAGGCCCAGGTCTGTGGGACAGTCCCTGAGTCAGGGGACAGGTGTCTGGAGTTGGATCCCCACCCCCCGGGGCCAAGAGACCCCAGCTCAGCAGTGGTGGTGACGGTGGGTGACGAGCTTGAGGCCCCGGAGCCCATCACCCGAGGGCCGACTCCACACCGGCCTGGTGCCAACCCCAACCCGTCGGTGAGCGTGACATGCCCCATGGAAGAGGAGGAGGAGGCGGCCGCAGCCGAGAAGGAGCCCAAGAGCTACTGGAGCCGCCACTACATCGTGGATCTGCTGGCCGTGGTGGTGCCGGCTGTGCCCACCGTGGCCTGGCTCTGCCGCTCCCAGCGGCGCCAGGGCCAGCCCATTTACAACATCAGCTCCCTGCTGCGGGGCTGCTGCACTGTGGCCTTGCACTCCATCCGCAGGATCAGCTGCCGCTCGCTGAGCCCGAGCGAGGCCGGTGGCGGCTCCCAGCTCTGAGGGGGCCCCATCCCGGCCAGCGGCCCCGGCGGCCTGACCACTGATTGTAGGGGTGCCGTCCTCCCTCTCGCACATTCCTGTGGGGCATCATCTTATTTATTTAGTTTTCGGTTTGGAAGTGTTTTTTTTTTGGGATGTTAACAGTGTTGGGGGCTGGGAGGAGAGGTTGAGGGAAGGCACCCCAAAACTTTGATGGGACAGAAGGGAAGAGAGACCAAGGGCAGGGAGGCCAGCTGACTGGACAAATGGCAGAGAGAAGCTGGTGAGTCCCCCAGCCCGGCCCCTGTCCACCTGGCCCTTCACACAGGGCAGCCCCTGCTCAGGAAGTCTCGGGGGGGAGGCTGGGCTGAGTTGCCCTTCAGCGCTCCCCCAGCCCCACGTCCTGTCCAGTTCTCTGCTCACTCCAGGCCTTCTCTCCCAAGCCACCCCTTGCCCTCGGCCCAGCCTTCTGGCCAGGTACCATCTCCTCAGATGGAGGCAGCTACAGCCCAAAGTATAGGCACCTGGGACTCTGAACAGGGTCTGGAGCCGCTGGGCCTGGGCTGGAGCTCCAGCCTCCTCAGGTACTGCCCTCTCTGGGATTCTGAAGCGCAGTCAAGGCCACGGGCTAGAGGAAAGACAATGACGGGCAAGAGGTGGCAGAGGGCAGCGTGGCTTCTGTGTCTGTCTGTTCGTCCAGACCTTCCTCACGATCCACTTTCCTCTTGGCGTTTCTGGGTGCGTCTGATAATTCTTCCTGTGAGAGCCAAACCAGACGGGCTCGGTGCTGGGGTAGAGCACTGGCCTGGGCCCCAGCTCGCCTCTGGAGACTCTGCCAGCACAAGAGGAGCAGGCAGGGGCTGGCAGCTTGGGGGCGGGGCTCCTCCAGCCTTCTGAGATGAGGCCCTGTCGTCTGGGAGTCAGGGCTGGACTCACAATCTTCAGCTGGTTCGAAAAGCCAGAGGCTGTGACTGCCCCCGAGAGCTTCCCCTGAGCTGCTCTGGGGGTCGCAGGCCCACTCCTGCTTTGCACTACGTTCACTTTGGAGCTTGGTTCTCTGTACCCCAGGGTCTCCTGTGAGGGGGCTGCTTGCTTTCTAAGGGTGAGGGATCCTAAAGCTTAGACCTCCCAGCCTCGGGGGGGAATTCTGACAGGATGAATGGCAAGATGGGGTACGGAAGCCATGATGTTTGTCCAGGCCAAAGCGGGGTGCCCTGGGGTGTTTCCTGGCTGGGGTGGGGCGGACGGGAGCCCTGCAGCCTCCTGCTCCCAGCCCAAGCCCTGGTGGCCTGGGAAGGCCCACTGTGGCCCCTCCTTCCTCAGGACCACATCTGGGACCCCAGCAAAGCTGCTGACATTTTATCCCCATGATTAGTTTACAGAGTAAAGCCACCCCTCGTCCCCACAGGGCACACATGTCCACCTGGTCACCCGCTCTGCAGAGTTGGGCCCCACAGTGGAGGGCTGGGTACGACCTGTGTCTTACTCCCTCTCTGGCCCAGGGGCCACTCTGGTTCTCTGCCAAGGTTGCTTGCCCACTCCCGCTGCTCCCACAGCTGCTGCCTGACTCGTGGGCTCCACCCTTCCTCTCTGTGCCCTCCACTCCAGGGGGGACACCGCATGCACTGGGAGTGGGCAGCCAGCCCCACCATCAGCGACAGCCCTCCCTGCCACACGCTTTGTGCCTCCAAAGCTCCCCCCGCCTCGGTCGGGGCCTCAGACCAGCCATCCTTTGTGGAGCATTTGTGGCCCCAGCTGAACCAAACCCAGACTCCTGGGGCCTGGCTGGGCTGCCCCAGAGAACACTAAGGTGGCGACATGGAGGGCCAGTGGACAAACCCACTCCAAAGCCAAGCCGGGACTGGCCACGGACCCAGCCTCCTGTGCCATGTACTCACGGAGCTGCGTAGTGTCTCCTTAGAAATAGTCAAAGCTTTGCTGAGAAAATAAATGTATGACTATATTTGACAACATAAAAATCTATATATTTTTCACCACTGGAATTTAGCCAAGCTGCGTACCCCTCTGCTCCTGTCCGTGTCTTGCTGTCTGTGGCCTTCCTGTTGTGTCTTGTGTTTTGGTGGATGTGGTCAGGGCTGGGGCCATTGTCCACTCTGTCCTTGCTGCTGGAGAAGCCAGTCCCAAAGGGCTAGACGGGGCTGGACCCGAGGCCTATGGATGAGGCGGGTGGGACTGGCTGCCGCCCTCTGCCGCTGCTCCTGTTGGAGACCTGCCCATCTGGGTTAGAGGGCCCAGCCCAGTGTTCAGGGTCTGCTTTCTGGGGAGTCTGATGGGGCCTTTGACGGGCTTCTCTTCTCCTTGTCAGTGGAGGAGGCAGCTCACGGCCCCAGCCCTGGGACAGCCCGGGACGGTGGTGGCCGGTGGCCCCTGCCCGGCTCCTGGGTGTGTTTGTGTGCGTGCTTGGTATCCGCATCTATGCAAAGGTGCAGCGCGGCTGGGGCGGCTCCACGCGGCAGAGGTGTGCAGCCTGCGGGCTCGGGCACCAGGCCCTGGCTCTGAGGGGCTGCTGCGCGAGGCCAGGGCCAGGGCGCCCGCTGAGAGCTCATCCTCTAAAGCTTGGCCCTTTACCTTCCCGCTTACCACCCCCTCCTGTTGGGCTGTGACCTTCCCTCCTGCCCTCGGCTTCTGGAACAGAAGTCTTCGGGGCCTCCCCTCTGCCCAGCCTCCAGCAGGAGCTGATCAGGACCCAAGGACAACATTGCCAGGAACCACCTTCCGGAGCTGCTTGTCCCTTGGAGCCCAGCAGCTGGAAGCAGCTTTTCCTTAGTTGCAGGGCCTGGGCCAGGCGGCCCTGCTGCGCCTCTGGTCCAGGCTCAGGCAGGAATCCAAGTTGGGGGCTGGGACTCTGCACAGAGAGCTGGCCTCGAGTGGAGTTTAGTCCAAATATCTCCCAAGGGGATAACTTAGCTTTTTACCGAACACCCTTCCCAGTCGCCAATAGCATGGGGCTATCTGACAGCACCTTGGGGCGGAGTGGACAAATGACCAGGTTCTGGGGCTGAGGCCGACTGAGGGGCCTCTGCCCCGTGAATCATGACCCCTCTCTGACCCAGGGGGACAGTGCACACGAGTCATGGTGCACACACATTCGGCCATCCCCTTCATGGAGAATCCAGGGGATGCAGGAAGGGGGGAGGTGGGGCGGGGTCTTCACTTTCGTCTCCTTTGTCCTTTTGTTCATGCAGAGTTGTACCTGCAGCAGACAGCTCTGAATTAAAGCATGAAAACACAGCAAGACCTTGGCCTGGCTTCTTTATATTGTGTCTTTTTTCTCAGGGGGCGAAGGGGGCTCACTCTGTCCCCGCCAGCCTGGGAGTCAGAATGTGCGCGTTGGAAGAAGCTGCGGGCAGAGATCTTGTCCGAGGTGGAGGGAACCAGAGAGCTGTGTGCTGGTTCAGCTCTGCCACGCGTCTGCTGTGGGCAGCTGGCAGTCACTCCATCCTGGGGCTCAGGCAAAGGACCTAGAAGCACCTCCTTGCTACCACCAACCCCCCCTCCTCCCCCCACCAAGTGTCAGACCCGCTGGGCCCTGTCAGTGCATCCTTCTGTCCTTGGCCGTACCCTGGGGCAGTTCTCATTCTCATTCTGCAGATGCAGAAGCAGGCCACGGTCGCTGAGCAGAGGCTGCTCCCGAGCCAGCGCCCCTCTTCCAGAGTCCCACGCTGTCCCCACTCGGACTGGCAGAGAGCACGTGACAGTGGCACAGCCAAGTTGCTGTTCTCAGAGGCAATGCGCAGAGAGGCCTGGGTCTCACCACTGCTTAAATGAAAACCAGCCCTGGCGTGTCATGGGACCGAGGGCTCTGGAATTTTCAATGACTTTTGAGGAAGGGATTTTATTTGAAATCAAATCTTTATTCAAAAGAAGTGAAGGGTTATAACTATATACGGTTTGTGACAAAGAGCAAGTAAAGGAAAAAGAAACAATTTTCACAAAGATTGTATTTCTGTTCTTTCAAAACATGGAACTATTTTTCTGGTAGAGGCAAAATCTTGAAAGGGACCCGCTGCAACTTTTAGAAGTGTTTAGCGGGCTGGCTACGTGCCCAGCATTTAAACTGGCGCAAAAACTCGGCTGCCTGGGGGCCCTGCCCAGCCCAGCCGCGTGTTCAGAGTCTGAGGCTCCAGGAGGCCTGGGGATGAATGAGACCCACGTGATCCAACGTTGCCCCAACTGGAACACGCCCCCAGGCAGCAGGCCTCCACAAGGTCGTCTGAGGACTCTGCCCTTTCCTGCGGGAGGGCGGGAGGGCTGAGCTGCCCCCGTGTGGCTTTAGATGTCTGGGATGGAGTGGTCCATGGTGTGGTGAAGCAGGGTCAGGGACAACCTAGACGCAGCAACGACGACAGTGGCCCAACTGGCAGCCCCTTCTCCCCAACCCCCCCCCCCCCCCCCCCCCCCCCCCCCCCCCCCCCGAGCCTGTGCATCCCATGTGGGCCTTCACTTCCATTTCTAAGCCTTTCAAATCACCAAAAGCCACCAGCCACCCTGAAGGGAGGAGGGGAGGGCAAGTTGGTCTGTGCCCCACATAAGCCTGGAGGGAGCTGAGGTGGCCGGGCAGCGGGGAGGGGAGGGGCGGGCAGGAGGGGGCAGCCTTACCTTTTGACCATGTGCTCGTAGATCACCGTGGGGATGATGGTCAGGGTGACGACATTCCCGGCCATGGCCAGAATCTCCGTGACCTCTTTGTCCTGGAGAGAAGGGGAGGGAGCAGTCACCCTGGGGACCCGGGCAGCTCTTCGGACACCTCTGTCCAGGGGCTAGGCACGGCCCCTGTGAGAGGACACCACTGATGCCTGGCTGCCTGTGGGTGAGGGGCTCAGGCAGACGCCCAGGTGAGGCCTTGCTCGAGCAAGAACGTGGGCCTCCCAGCTGAGGATCTCCTCGGTAAAATGAGCACCCCACTCCCACCTCACCCTGGGGGCCAGTCGAGTGGGCCTGACGTGTAACAGGGCCTTCTAAACTCTGCTCTCCTTCCCTTCCCCACAGCCCATGTCTTCTGTCCCATCTCCCTGGCCCCAGTCACACTCTGGTTCCGGCCCCAAAGCACAAAGAGGATAACCATGCAGTGGGGACAGGAGGCCCACCCACCCACCCGCTGGGCTCTGTCAGCCAGCCAGCCTGAGCCAAGTCCACAGGGACCTTGGAGCTCTCACGTCTTGTTGACCAGTAAAAAGAGAAAGGCCTGCAGACGCCACTCAGGTCATGGGGAGAACCAGCAACGAAACGTCTCTAAGCGAAGTGTGCCAAACAGTTCAATGCAACAGTGATGGCCATTGGAAGAGGCGCGGGTCCTCCCTCAGAGACCAGGGGCCTTTACTTCACACACATCTTAACTCGGCTGTGCATTTTCTGAGTTGTTCCGGATAGATGGGAGAAGCTGTGCTAGGAGGACTAGTGATGGGCACAGCGTGGAAACACACAAACTGAAAAGATAAATGATCTCAAGACACATAGCTGTCCCGAGCCATTCAGAAAGGGGACAAAGCCAGTCCCAGGAGCCTCCAGCACCATGGTGGCAGGATAACTGAAATGTTCATAATGAAGCCTTGAGCCGTCAGGGAGGACGAGAGAAAGTCAGCACATTTAGAAGGACTGCTCTCCAGAATAGCTAAGACCAAAAAACTGTAATGCTTTGAAAGAAGTGAACTCACTCACCGAAAGAGCCAGCTAGTAAGCATTGGTATTAGTGTAGTCAACTTTCCAGGTATCATGGGTTCCCTTTGGATTGTCGGGTCTGATTCCAGACGGAGGAGAGAGATGCAGCAGGAGGGACTTTAGACAGACATTAGGAGAACTTCCTGATCGCAATGCCATGAGCTGTCAGAGCAAGCCTCCAAGGAAGGTGGGGAGACTATCAAGCACAGGGAAGCAGCTATGTGACAGGAATGGCTTGGTGATGGCCCTTGTGAGGGTGGAAAGGTGGCATAAAACACTGTGCCAGCTGCGACATGAGATGCCACCACCCAGGCCACTTGTGCTGGGGGAGCCCTGCCATGTGAGTCTCCAAGCCCAGGCTGCAGGAGGGGAACGGACCCTCACTCTACATCACAACCGGGATTAAGAACCACTCTCGGTCCACGTGGCATCACATCAGGATAGAACCGCTTTCACTTGTTCTGGGACCAAAAGCCACGTGACTCATCATCCTCCACGGTCTGTTCCCCAAGGCAGCCACCCCTCAGTCCACATCCACAGCGCTGACCCTGAACCACGTGCTCCTTCTTCTTTTTTAAAGATAAAACTCGCCATACCCACCCCCTCCAAAAATGGACGGAGGGCAGAAACAGCTTTCTGAATAGCAATTTTCTAAACTATTCCTACTACTGAATGTGACCCAGTGTGCAAACAGAAATGCCACACAGAGTAGGGAGGTATCCGTGCAGCCAGCAGCCACCTGGGTGCCTGTGTCCTTACACGTGCCATCTGTCACAGCTCTGGCCTCCACGTGTTAGTAACAATAGCTAATATTTATTGAGCACCTACTGTGTGCTAGCACCGTGCTCGGAGCTCTGTGTACCTTGTCTTAGTGACTCCTCACAGCAACCTTAGGATGGGGAAATTGAGGCTCGGGGGGAATGCAGCTGCCCAGAGACACGAGCCTTCCCACCACCCAGCAGAGTCTCCGAGCTCCTGAAGGTCCTGAGGCGGAGCGTGGCACGGCCTACCTTCAGCCCGATGACATTCTGTCCATTCACCTCGCACACGGAGTGGTTGGTGAGGAGCCCGTTGCGGGCCGCAGAACTCCCTTTGACCACAGAGATGACCTTCCCCTTCTTGATGACAAAGCCAACGTGGCCCATGCTGTCCTTGTGCAAGGTGATGTTCCGCTGGAACGGCCTGGCGGGGAGGGACAGTGAGCTGGGCCTGGGGCGTGGCTGGGGGTGGATAGAGAAGCTCCTGGGGCTGGCTACTCACCTGTCTCGAACGACCATGACGATCTTCTCCGCCGATGCCTTCTTCACCACCCGGTGGGCTTTGTCTGTGCTCCACCCGGCACAGTCACGCCCGTCAATCTGCAGGATCTGGTCCCCAAAGCGCAGCCCCACGAGGGACGCGGGCGTGTTGGCCTGGACCAACTGCACAAAGATTCCCTGGGGGAGGCAGGGCCCACGGTCAGCGCCCCTGGCCGGCCCAGCCCAGGGCTCTCCTCCAAGCTGTGGTTTTGCTCCTGATCCTGTGGGAGCTGACAGGTTACCTACCAGGACGAGAGCTCTGCCTGGCAGGTACAACGGTTACCCTACTTTCCTGGAGAGGAAATGCTCCAGGCCACATAACTAGGAAGCAGCTGAATCAGGATTTCAACCCTGGCTGGAGGCTCACCCCGACTCCCACCCACAATGGGATGGCACCCTGGCTTCCACTGTCTACAGACAGCAGCCTGGCAGCGAGATTCCTGTGAGCTGGGGGGCTGGGGGGTGGGAGTGGTGAGGGAGGCTCTGAGCCACAGGAGCCCACGGAGGGGCAGGCGGAGGGTCCCTGCTGAAACCCAGCGCCAGCCCTGGGGCCTTGGGGCAGGTGGATTGACAGGAAGAGCCTGGGCCTGGGCGGGCCTCGGCTCCCATGCCCACTCGGCACCTTCCCTGCTGTGGACGGGCCCCTGCGCTGCCCGCTCTCGGGCTGGTGGCTGATGTGGCCGAAGTCCCATGGCGCGTGGGGGAGCGCGGGCAGCTCGGGCTGCGGGGGTATAGGGGGGCGTCCAGCAGGCGCGCTCGCCCTCCGGGGACCCCTCCTCTCCCACCGGTCCCCAGCCCCACCTGGTCGATGGCCCGAAACCGCAGCCCGGTCTTGCCGCGCTCGTCCTTGCACAGGTGGATCTCGCGCACCCCGGGCTTGATCTCCGCACGCCGCGCGCCCAGGCTGTTCCCGGACACCGGCGCCACCACTAGGCCCGCCGACGGGCCCGAGACCGCCATCTGCAGACACCAGGGGAGCAGGGGCTCAGTTTCGTCGGGATAGGGAAAGGAGGATCGAGAGGTCCCTGGGCCCCACCCTACCCCCAGACCACAAACTTCTCTGCAGGGGGCGAAAGAGGGCATGGCTCCATGAGGCCACTAGGGGGCGACAAAGCCCACACCCCTGAAAGACAGCCAGGAAAATGGGGAAAGACGAGACGGGTCTATAGAGAGGGGGCCCTCCTTTTCCAAGGCAAATTGGTATCAGAAGACCTCTTTAAAATCCACTTAAAAAGAAAAGAAAAATTTCGCAGCAAATACTGAGCAACGAGGGAAAGGGGCTCAGTTTGATTTTTGCCTTGAAAGAAATTAAGCTAAAAGTATAAAAATGAATGTAAGCTTTCCCCCTAAGATGAGGAATAAGGCACTCTCACCACTACTATGAAATACAGTACTGGAAGAACTCGCCAGAGCAATAAGGCAAGAAAAGGAAACAAAAGGCATGGATTGGAAAAGAAGAAATAAAATGGTCCCTATTCCAGATGACACGATGGTCGACTAGAAAATCCCAAGGAATCTACAAACGAACTAGAACTAACGAGTGAGTTCAGCAAGGTCACAGGATACAAGATCATACAAAGATCAATCGTACTTCTATATGTGAACAATGAACATGTGGAAAGTGAAATTAAAAGTACAATACCACTTACAATCACTCAAAAAAAAAGTAATACTTAGGTGTAAATCTAACAAAATATGTATAGAAATCATATGCTGAAAACCACAAGACATGAATAAAAGATACGGAGGAAGATCTAAATAAATGGAGAGATATTCTCTATTCAGGGATCGGAAGAACAGAGGAAAGCTGTCAACTGTCCCCAAATTGACAGCTTTAAAGTGTTTTCTGTCAAAATCTTTGCAGGGGGGCTGGCCCAGTGGTGTAGTGGTTAAGTTCAGTGCTCCTCTTCAGTGGCCTGGGGTTCGTAGGTTCAGATCCTGGAGCACAGACCTAGCACCACTCGTCAACCCACGCTGGAGCAGCATCCCACATAAAATAGAGGCAGACTGGCACAAATATTAAGCTCAGTGACAATCTTCCTCAAGCAAAAAGAGGAAGATTGGCAACAGATGTTAGCTCAGGGCCAATCTTCCTCACCAAAAAATGTTTTAAAAATAAATTTAAAAAGATCTTTGCAGGATGTTTTGTAGATATAAACAAGGTTAATCTAAACTTTATATGAAAACACAAAAGAACTAGAATAGCTAAAACTATTCTGACAAAAAGAATCAAGCAAGAGGAATCACTATGCCAAATTTCAAACTTATTCTGCAGCTATAGTAATCAAGACAGTGTGATACCAGTGGAGGGACGGACACAGAAATCAATGGGACAGCAGAGAGAATCCAGGAATACCCTCACACAGTAGGGCCAACTGCTTTTAACAGAGGTGCAAGAGCATTCAGCACAGAAAGAATAGTCCTTCCAACAGATTGTGCAGGAGCAATTGAACAACCATGGGCAAAAATATGAACCTTGACCTAAACCTCACACCTTTGACAAAAATGAACTCAAATTCAATCATAAGTTGAAATGTAAAACAGAAAACTGTAACAGTTTTAGAAGAAAATAAAAGAGAAAATCTTCAGGACCTAGGGCTTGATGAAAATTTCTTAGGACACCAAAGGATGATGCACGCACACACACACAAAATCAGTAAACTGGATCTCATCAAAATTGAAAACTTTTGCTCTGCAAAAGACCCTTTTAATTAGGAGAAAAGAGTAGCTACACACTGAGAGAAAATATTTACAAACCACATACCTGCGAAAGGACTCTAGAATAAAGAATTCTCAAAACTTGACTTAAAAAAGACAGTCCACTTAGAAAATGAGCAAAAGATTTAAAGAAACACTTTACTGAAAAGGATTTACAGCTGGTAAATAAGCACATGAAAAGCTGTTCAACATCACTAGCCATCAGGGAAATGCAAATTAATGATGAGACATCATTGTTTACCTATCATAATGGCTAAAATTAAAAATAGTGACAACACCAAATGCTGGCGAGGACGTGAAGAAACTGGAGCACTCATGCATTGCTGGCAGGAAAATAAAAGGGTACAGCCACTCTGGAAATAGTTTGGCAGCTTCTTAAAAATATATAAACACGCATTTATCATAAAACCTAGCAATTGCACTCTGGGCATTTATCCCAGAGAAATGAAAACTTATGTCTGTACAAAAAGCTGTACACAAACACTCATAACAGCTTAGTGTGTAATGGCCAAAACCTGGAAACAACTAAAATTTCCCTCAATGGCTTAACAATCCCGGGTACATCCATACCGTGGAATACTACTCAGCAGTGAAAAGGAACGAGCTACTGATACACGCAGCAACTTGGAAGAATCTCCAGGGCATCATGCCGAGTGAAAAAAGCCCATCTGAAAGGTCACACGCTAAGTGATTCCACTTATGTAACATTCTGAAACAACAAAATTATAGAGACGGAAGACAGACAGTGTGGTTGTCAGTGGGAAGGGATGGTGAGGGGCAAGAGTGGGCATGATTACGAAGTGGTGGCACTAGGGAGACCTTTGTGGTGACAGAATTGTTCTGTGTCTTGACTGTGGTGGTGGTTACATGAGTCCACACAGCTGATAAAATGACAGAGAACTACAGACACACATAGTCAGAGTGAAATGCCTGCTTTTGGCCCTATACTACAGCACATAAAATGCAGCCACTGGGAAAGCCAGGGCAAGGGCACCCTCTTCTGCACCCTTTTCTGTGCCACCTTTGCAACTTCCTGTAAATCTATGATTATTTAAAAATAAAAAGTTAAAAATAAAGACAATTAAAATTTTGTGTGTGTGAGGAAGAGTGGCCCTGAGCTAACGTCTGTGCCCATCTTCCTCTATCATGTATGTAGGATGTGCCACAGCAGGGCTTGATGAGCGGTGTGTAGGTCTGTGCCCGGGATCCAAACCCATGAACCCTGGGCTGCCACAGCAGAGCTCATGAACTTAACCACTACACCTCTGGGCCGGCCCCTAAAATTTTTTAGTTATAAAAACACATTTGTCTGTCATATTTTATCAAAATTTAGGTTGAATATATTTATGTCCTAATAATTGGAACAAAGAGGAATCAAGTCAATGGACTAAAACTGAACTATAGAAACATGTCCTTCTTTGCTTCGTGTTTGTCCTTCACAGCGTGGCTATCAAGGGAGTCATTTCAGAGAAACACCACAGGGTGTCACCAGTTCTTCTCAGGGCCCCACATGTCCTCATCCTTGCCGCTTTTCTCCTGTGAGATCCTCAGGTCACTGGCTTTATATGTGGCTGTGGCAGTCCATCGTCACTTCCGTCAACTTCATGAATTGCTTTGGCCTTAGCCAGATTTGCAGTTGCACTTTGCAATTGATTTTCACTAGTTCAGGGGGAGGTTGGCCGACAAGGACACTGACCAATGGCCCACAGGGATGCTGGAGCTCATTGGAGTTGGGACTGACTGGGTCTATGGGTGAACCCGTTTTCAGGAGTGAATATTTCTGTGCCATGATTTCTTTTGCTCCCTGAAGCCATGGAGAGCAGGAATCAAGCATTCCCGGTTAATCTGGGGACCAGAGCTGATTGACAAGCTCTGCCTGTCCATGCAGCTGCTCTCAAGTCGCAGGCAGCCCTTCATTAGAAGCCCCAAGCTCAGCCTGGGTTTAATGTCCTTCCTTCTCACCCAGCAGGCTCAGGCCAGCAGACTGAAGCCAGAGGTCAAAGGATAGACGGTGGCCCAGAATGCTGGGGAAGCAAGAGATTCAAGTTTGTTTAAATGGAAAGATCAAGAAGGAGGGAGAGTTGGAACATTCTGTGCCCACATTAGGCAAGAAACAAATACCTACGCTGGCATCTTCCGGAATCTGCAGCAGGTTCTGCTGGACTTCTTGGCTGGAGAGGGAAAGACCCATATAATTTTCCAATTCTGCCAGGTTTGGGTACAAAACTGACGGGAAGGGAAGGAAGGGAGAAGAAAGATGTTACTCAAGGGCACGGGCTTAGCCACACCTGCTGGCTCCCCTGTGGTCACTCATTTTTAAGGACCAGGACCTGGGAATGCTATGTATTCCCAAGAATGCAGTATACCCCTGAGAATGCCATGTGTCCTCAGGAACGTGGGAGCCGTGGGAGAGGAAGGCAGGGACACTCGCTGGTGATGGGGTCCTCTCCTCTGAGGAGCAGGGAGCTGCCTTTCTCCAGGAGCAGCCTGGGACACCGAGTCCCTCATGTACCACTTTGGTGTTCACCTCAACTGACTTTACTTGGCATGAGGCCAGACACCCAACATGAAGCACAGGGCTGGTCCCAGGGCCCTGAGGCCCGCTCTCAGGAAGTCCCCTGGCTGCGGGAGGCCAGGGCAGCTCCAGGGGAACAGTGCCTGTGATGAGGGGGAGGAGTTGAGCCCAAGGTCCTTCCCACCACCAGTCTTGTTTGCTCAAGACTGTGCAACCCACTCTAGGGTTCATCTGGTCTCTTCATGCCACCTTCTGTGGTGGCCCCAGTCAGGGAAGGTAGTGCCCTCATGAAGCCCGGGCTTCTCGTTGACCCACTAGGGTCCCAGTGAAGGTGAAATGTGCATCAGCCCACTGCACAGTGGCAGGCAGGAGGCAAGCACCTGGAAGCCACCAGAAGAGGCCACTCTCAGTCAGGAGAACCCCAACCCCCACTCGCTCACCTGAAGGCTGGGAGATGGCTGTCTCCTGGACCGGCAGGGCGGGCATCCTGGACACGGCTCTGGCCTGGGCCTGGGGAGGGGCAGGGAGTGCTGGTCAGCTGTGGCTGGGACCGCTGCAACCCTTGGAGCCTGGGGCTCCCTGAGGCTGGGAGTCAGGGCATTAGGCATGTCAGTGGGCCTGAGGGGGGCTGTCCATGAACCTTCGAGGTTGTGTGTCAATGTGGCCTCTGCAGATGTCCGTGTGTCTCGGGGGAGGTTCTACCAGGAGCCCACGACCCACCAGATGTCATGACCTGTTTACCACCTGAGGCCGCCAGTACTTTGAGACCCACCTCCCAACCAAATTCGCAGTTGAAAAGTCCCAAATTCTCAAAACCCACTGGGACCACAGGTGGGATGGCAGGTGAAGGGGCTTCTGGGGGCTAAGCAGGACAAACGCCGTGCTCACAGGGTTTACTTTGGAAGCCTGCCCTACAGCTTGTGGGGTCTCCCCAAACCCTGACAGAGGAAGCAGCGGGACAGAGCAGGCCCGAGAGAGGCCTGTCTGCAGCTGCTCGGTCTTTTCCATTCCTGTTGTCACTCCCCCGCCTCAGCCTCTGGACACCTGCTCAGCCCAGAAGGCCCTGCAGTGGTGACCTGCGTGCCCAGGGGCCTCAACACCCAACCCCTTCCAAGACAAGCCTCCTTTAGTTACTCCGGGGTAATCTCGAAGGCTCCCTCAGGGGGCCCAGGCCAACGCGGGCCTGGCGGTTTACCTGAATGGCCTGGTCCACCTTCAGGTCCTCCAGAGATGGGTACAGGGTGGTCATGGCTGCTCCTTGGAACACCCTGCAGGGCGCAGAGGGAGAGGAGAGGTGAAGGGCGAAAGGAGGACCGGACGTCCACCTCCTGCTCCTGTGCCACTCAGCACTCTCAGGATGAGACAGAGACCAGGAAGGTATTACTGTCCCCATTTTGGAGATGGGGAAGCAGGATTTGAACTCAAGCCTGTTTGTTTCCCAAGCCCCTGGTCTCCACCCTAACAAAATTCCATCCCACCACATGCAACTGACTCTGGGCTTTAGAACCCAGGTCCAGGGACCACCCAGGTCATGCTGGCCAGGAAAAGCAGGACTAGGGGCCACACCCTTCCTGCCATGTTTCAAACGGGCTAATGAGGTCTGATCACCCAAGACCGAAGTTCAGTCCAGCAGGTTCCTAGTGAGCACCTGCTGCATACCCAGCCTAGATTAGGGGTCTGCACAGCATCGTCCCACAGCTGCACGGGATTCAGTCCAGTGTCAAGTGTGTTGAGGGAGGTGGTACTTAATATCACAACAGAAAGGCAGCAGGGCACACTCCCCTACATCCCTCTTCATCTCTGGGTATTTGAGCTCCTACTGTTTACCACCCATTTCCAGCCTCGATCTTGGCCACAATGAAGCAAGACCAATGGATATTCTTCAAAACAGACACACAAACTGCAGCAGAATTTAAACATTCATTGCTCCAAAGGGAGGGGGGAATGGGGGCTTGGGGGAACACCATGAACATTTACTAAATACCTTCTAGCTGTCAATCAGCAGGACCCCAGAGAAAGGTACCTGAAGAAATTCAAAGGAATCACCTCACAAAATACGCTTAATCGCCTTCCTCGGTGAAAAGTGAGGAAGGAGCAGTCTGTCTTCTGGGTTCTTCTCCGTTTACCCACTGACCCATTGGCTCTGTCACATCTCCAGGCCTTTGCTGGGCCAGTCCATTTCAGCTGGATGCCCTGCCTCACCCCTTGTCACCCTCGGTTCCTGCTGGACAGGCCTCCTCTGGCTCCCTAGGCAACGAGGTCACTGCTCCTGCCACCCAGGGCCCTGCCCTCTGGGAGAGACTCTGTGCCAGCCTCTGGCCTCATCAATTATCCTCAGTCTGTCTTCCCAGCTTAACTGCCATTCCTTGGGGTCAAAGTGTGTTCCATTCACCCCACTGGGCCTACTGTCCCTGGTACAAAGGGATGGCTGAGTTGTCACATGGAATTGAGTGGGCTGTGCCAGGGGTGGCGTGACTCCAGCCCCACCCAGGTACAGATCCTCTGGGCATCTCCCCTGAGTGACGCCAGTGGCCAAGGTCATCTTCATCCATCACTGCTCCTGCTCCTTCTTCTGCACCTGCTGCCTGACCCTTGCATCAACCCTGACTCCCCACATACACACCATCCCTTCTAATCTGCCACCAAATCCCATCTGTCCCATGTCCCATCCCTAATCCCCATGCTGTTGTGCAGACCTCCATCATCCGTACCCCCGACCCCTGCCAAGGGGCCACAACATCCTCCAATGGGTCCTGCCTCCTCTCTCACTGTTCTCCAGATGGCAGCCAACAAGACCTTTCTGCATGAGCCTGGGATGTCATGCTCCTGCTTAAGCCCCCGAGTGGCTCCCCACCGCTCTCAGAATCTAGCCCACGTTCCCTAAAGTGGCCCACAAGGCCTTCACGATTCCTTGGAACTGGTGGATCACAAGCCAGATGCAAACACATTATTTTTCACCTTGCAGAGTACTTCATACATTCCAATTAGCCGCCTAAATGCAAAACTCAAGACACGGCATTTAATAATCTAATTTTGCTGCTCCTGAATAACAGGAAACTTTGGCAACTCTGGACTGCAGCCAAGGAGCTATAGCTGAGTAGCAGCAGACTCTAGGGTGCCCCAGGCTCCACCATTCTCTATTGTCTCTTACATCTAGACCACTTTGCTCGCTGGCGCTGAGTCCCAACAGACAGCTGTCTGCAACTCATGCCTGACTCTCGGCTTCATTTCTTGCCATGTGTCCTTCTCCCAACTCCCACTCTCAGCTCCAGCCTCAGTGAGCTACTTTCAGATCCTTGAATTAACCAAAGGTTCTCAGCTCTCCAGGCCTTGGCCTGTGTTATTTCCTCTATCTGGAATACCTTCCACCGCCTCCACTCCCTGGCTAACTCCTAATCATTTTGGAGTCCCAGACCAGACTAGAGGACTCTTCTTTCAGGAAGCTTGCCTTGATTGGCGACAACCCCCCCCCTCCCCCCGCCCCCAACCATCCCATGTCCTTATGCCTGTGGATTGTTCACTACACCTGTAGTCGCCTCTTTACTTCTCCACCTACCTTGTTAGACTGGGAGTTCCAAAAGGGCAGGAACTGGGCCTCCTCATTTGCTGTGTAACCCCTAGCCCCTAGCATGGACACTAACTCACTAATATTGCCAGAGGCAATGCCTTCTGCCTGGGCTTCCATTCTTCTCCTTGGAAAGTAACGTTCTGATGTCCTCAGGACACCCACCTTCCTAGGATGGAAACAAGGACCAGGGGTCCCAAACATGTTTCATTTACCTCTCACAGTCTTGGTTTTTGTTTCTTACATTTGAATGAGCACCAACATTTTAAAATCTGGAAATATAAAATTCTTCACTTTTAACTGTATTGAAAAACAATCAATCTATTTGGCAATGCAAGAGCAGGAATCCTGCCCGGCAACACTCAGCCAGGCTGAGCCGCAGCCCACTTCTTAGATGGAGCTCTGTGTGCTTTCTTGTTTCCCAAAGGACCCACCCAGCCGACTGACGCTGCCTGCCCAGCTCCTGGAGGCAGGCAGTTCAAGATCCTTGCCTCAACCTGGCCTTGGGGGAAGAAATGATCATCTCAAGAGGAGAGGCATTGTCCTAGGGGAGAGGGAACTGGCTCTGACCTCCTTTAGACCTGCTAGTGGAGAGACCCCTTTGCCTGTGGCCTCCCCAGTGTACACACCCTGGGAGACTTTTACCTTGGGACACTCCTCAGGAGGTACCATCTGCCATAACCGTGCCCTGCCACCAGGATCATGCATGAACAGCAGATGTGCAAACAAGACGCCACTCTGCCCTGCTTGTTCTGAACTGAAGCAGCAGAGTGGTTATATTTTTAGCAGCTGCCCTCTGGGAGAGCACAATCAGAGATCCACTTCCTGGATACCATACCTCAGCCAGGACCACACAACCCTTTCTCTGTGTCTGGCACCCTTTCACCACTGCCACCTTCTCTGGGTCCCAACTCAGTTTTGGCGTTCTAGGCAGGATCAGGAAGCAGGTATTCCTCTGCCTTGTAGCAGTTCATGATACAGTGGGGAATGGCTCCCTGCCAGCAAATATGCTGTGTCTCATTCAATCATCCATTTATTCAGTCACAACATTTGAGTGTCTGCTGTGTGCCAGGGACCCTGGGCCTGTTTTAGTCATGCTGTTCCCTCTGCTTGGCACACTACCCTTCCCTGTGTCGTGCTCTTTCAAGGCTCAGTTCCAATACTGCTTCTCTGGTTGGCTTTTCTAGGCCATGGGATCCCCTTCTGGTGGGCTGGGTCTTCTCGTGTGTTCCTACCCCTAACTTGTACTGCTTCTATTGTCAAGCTATTTATCATATGATATGATTAATATCTGGGTACTTTCTTATACTGGAACCCACCTCAGAAGGGCAGGGGCTGTGTCTCATTCACCACACTATACCTCCCCCCAAAACGGTGCCCAGCACATGTACACTGGCAAAAATTATTTGACTGAATAAATCAGTGGTTTTCCAAGGAACAGACTGGACATTTGTGTGGGCATTTTTGGGTGTCACAAGACTGAGGGGACACTGCTGGCATTTAGGAAGCTGGGAGCAGAGATCTGGACCTCTTGTAATGCAACTGGCCTCTGTCCTGCACAACTTTCCAATATCCTGCCGAACCTTCATGTAGGCAAAACTCCTGTCTATAACCTGTTTTATATACAAGCACAATGAGATTTTTTCCCTGGTTTTAATATACATTATCCAGAAGTGCATATATATACCAGGTTAATCAAGGGAAATTATACTTTGTTTTGTTCACCATTTTGTAAAAATCAGTCAATCCTTCTCACGACAGGTGAGTCACCAGAACACGCCCATGTGTCTGCACTGTAGCCGTTCCCGTGACTCCACGCCCGTATACAAAGACATTTAGCCCCTGACTGAAGATGTCAAACAAACTGTTGGCAAAATTCAGTTGGATATTGTCTTCCATTAAATCCAAACTTACTCATTTTGTGTTAGGTACAAGCATGACTGGGTGTAACCCAGTCTGAGATTTTACACAGTGAAATGCATATTTTTTATTATAAATTACTTTCCTTGCCCTCGTTTTTCTCTTATAATAAAGATAGGGCATCATATTGATTTTTCACCCAGGGAGAACGGTGGCTCGGCACGAACAGGCCCCTTCCCCAGCCTCAATTTCCCGCTTCCTGAAATGGGAACAGACGCCACGCACCGGGGCACCAAAGAAATCCCCAACGGTCCCAGGACCTGTTCTTCACCCGAGGCCTCAGTTTCCCAAATTGTCACACTGCTCAAAGATCCCCAATCAACTCCTGCTGAGACCCACACGTTACTACCAATCCCGCGGAAGCAACGTTTTCTGGTTGCTATGGGATACGGCGCCTGCGCAGAGACCTCGCCAGGCCGCTAGGGCGCGCTGCGGCATCTAAAGCGCGTGCGTCTCGCCCACGCTGGCCGGCGCGCGGCTACGGGCGGCTCCCAGGATGCCCCGCGGCTGCAGGGGGCGCAGTATGGCGGCTTTCTTGCCGCGTGGGTTGTTGGTCGCGGTTTCCACCTCGCTTCTCGCTTTCTCCAGGCGCCTGTGGCTGGCGCGGGTTTCCAGAAAAAGAGATCAGGTAAAGCAGTAGACTACGGGATGGGAAGCCTCGGTCGGGCTCCGCGTCCTCTCTTTACCGGGCCGAGCGAGCTTTAAAGGGGCGAGTGTCCCTTCTCCTCCCCACGCGCCTGGCCCCTGAAGGCCCTTCACGGCTCCGAAGAAGGGAGGGTGCGGTGGAACCGCCCGCTGCTGACCGATAGGATTCTGTACTGAGGCAGCTGGGGGAGGGGGAAGGGCAGCGTTCCCCGCCGGCGCTCCCCGCTGCCTGTTGCTCGAACTGAAAAGGACCCCCTAGCTCTTGAAAGTTTCGGAAGCGCTTTCAGTCCCGGTGGTTCCTACTCGTTGTGATCTCACCGTCCCTCCCACTCGTTCCTTCCTTGGTTTCTGGCCTGGCCCCGACTCCTGACCTGGTGCGGAGCTGCAAGTGCCCCGCCCCACTCCACGCAGATTCACCCCGGGATCCTACCCAAGAGTGACTGAGTGATGGAGCTCCTGCAGCCCAGGGGAGAGGGATCTTGTGCTTTGGTGGGCAGATGTCTTCCCACAGCAAAATTGGACCGCTTGCTCGTTGTAAGGGACCCAGGCAGCTGAGTCTGTGGGGTGCAGAACAGAAAGCTGGGGTACTCAGGAAGCCCTCCTGGTGTAAGGAAGGAGGTCTCAGGAGGGTAGGAGCGGAGAGTGCTACTCCCGGGATAGGGAGGCCCAGGCCCAGGAGTCCAGCTGCCTTCCAGATCTTTACTACCTCCTGCAGGTTATTCAAACTGAATTCATTTTTCCCAGTTTTGCTGCGCCTCTACAACTGCCCCACCCAATCCACCCCGTGGTCTGAGCCAGAAATCTGGGGTTTATCCTCAGTTCCTGCCTTGAAGGCATACCCAGCTCTTGACCTCAGGATAAACCTCGAACTTCAACGTGGTGCTTAGATTATCCCTGTGACCTGACTCCTGGTACCATCTCCAGTCTCACCTTCTCACCCTTCCACACTCACCCTGCGTTTCGTTCATTCCAGACTGCTTGCTGATCCTAAAACTCACCCTGCTAGTTCATGCCTCCATGCTTTTGCAGGTGGTGTTCCCTCTATCTTGAATGCCTTCTCTCTCCCCCTTGTTCATCTGATGGATGCCTCTTCCTTCAGTTCTGGGTTTTGCCTCAAACCCCCACGTCCACACACAGATAGTTAGGCAGGCCTCCCTTCTCTAGGCTACACAGTCTCGTATTCACCTATTCATTCCACTAATGTTTATTAAGCAACTACAGTGAGCAAGGCCCTCTGCATTTCCTGGGTTGGATTTCCACTGTGCTGTGTTTGTTGCCTGTCTCCCTCTCCGGTCAGGAATGTTGCTCATTTCTGAATCCCCAGTGCTTGGCACACAGCGGGCGTCCAGTTATTGTTTCTTAAAGCAGTGGAAAAGCAGACCCAGAGATAAGAGAAAGCCCAAAAAAGTCCTCTGAAGAAAAACTCTGGGCCTAGAAAGAGAAAAAACACTGCTCTAATGAGGTAGATTGAAAGGCTGGCTCCTACAATCTCTTGATGGAAGAGCTTGCTCAATTCGGTGCTGTTGGCCTCCAGCAATTAATTACCTCCTCTGAAAGGAAAAGAAGCTGTCTAACCCATCTCTCCCAGAGGAATTTTCCTCTCCCACTGCACTTTGCAGAATTTCCATCCCTGAGCTTCTGTACTTTTTGCTGTAAGCAATAACAACACCCACAAGGACAGCAGTCAGGTCCTCAGAGATCGGGGCCATCAGCCCCCATCTTTGGACTTTGGAATGAGAACACTTCTTTGGAACGCTTGGTTCCAAAGAGCTGAAACTCCAGGACTCCCACTTGTTCCTGTGGACACCTCATTCATCCTTCAGAAGACAGTGTGTGGGAGGGAGGGAGGCCTGGGTTAGAGTGTCAGAGGAGTAGCTCCTGGAAGGCCTGATTAGCCCCCGGGGTATGGAGGGGCAGGAAGGAAGTGGCTGTTGCTAGGCCACCAACATGCACCACCCCCCCCCCATCGCCTTCTTCAAGGAATGCAGATGCTCCCAGTCCAGGCCCAAGAGCAGCCAGGGCAGGAGAAAGGACCTTGGAGGCAGGCAGGGCTGCATTCAGACCGCTGCCTCTGACTTGGGAGAGCAAGCATGGACAAGTCCCTTTCTTCCTTGTGATATGGATAACAATACTTGCATCCCAGACTTACTGGGGAGTTAAAAGATTCTTAAAAAGAGATGAGATGTGTTTGGGAAGCACCAAGGGCAGCACCTGGCATGTGAAAGCCTGCAGTAATCGTTAGCTCTTGTTCATTCATTCAGTACATTTACTGAGTGCCCAAGTCCCTGTACTGTTTTAGGTACCAGTAATAAGGCAGTGAACAAAAGGGAAATCTGTCCTTGAGGAGCGTCACTTTCTGGCTGGATAAATAAGTGCGTATGCTCTTAGGTGGGGGGAAGTGATGGGGAGAAAGAGCAGGATGGGGGATGGTGTCAGGAGGTCCAGAAGAGTCTCGCTCTTGTGGGATAGAGGGTGGCGAGTGACTTTTGAGTAAAGGCTTAAAGGGCTAGGGAAGAGCATTTGGGCTAGGGCGCAGCCACTGCGGCAGCCCTGCGGTGGGAGTGCCTGTTGTGACCAGTGAGACTGAAGTCAATGGTTCAGAGGGGGAATGGCTGGAGAGGAGGTGGGGGAAGGGTGAGGGGCCTGAGCCTGTGTGGCCTGTGCAGCATGGCGAGGACTTGGCATTACTCTGGCGAGGTGCGAGCTGCTGGGGAATTTTGAGCAGCAGAGTGACGTGGTCCAGCTTTTATTTTAACAGGCCCCCTCTGCTGATGTTTGGAGAACAGACTAGAGGGGCAAGGGTGGACGCAGGGAGCCGAGGTGAGAAGCGACGGTGGTGGTAGAGTTGTTACTAGTTAGGGCCACTGTGTGGAAAGCAGCCAGGGTGGTGCCTGCCCAGCACACGCAGCCTCATTTTAAGCACCATTTTCCGAGACCATTTTCTGAGTATGTGGAGCACACGTACTGGCCCCTATTTCCATTATCTCATTCAGTTCTCCAGACTGTATGGGAATATTTCCAGTATGCAAATGAGGAAACCAGTTCTCAGAGAGGTCAAGCCACCAGCCCAGTTCCCCTGTAGGTTTCCCTTGCTGTGGTAGGTGGTCATTGATAGAAACAGCTTCAGGCAAAGAAGTGAGTAACGGAAGCTGAGGCCTCCACTCTCAGTTCCTTGTAGAAATCAGCTCTTTGCCTCGCCTTCCAAGGGCCTACTTCAGGGAGCAAAGTGGGGGTCCCAGCTCCGTGAGCACTGTCACAGGCAGTCAGAAGGAGCCGGGGCCCTCGTGATGTTTGGATAAAAGTCATTCAGCCCTCAAACCTAGCCCAGGGCTGGGGTCAGAAGAGGAGACCCCAGTCACACTTCGTCCCCAGAGTGATGCATCGTGAGAGCAAAGGCCTGGGAAGTCCCAGAAGGGGCGGGCCAGGGAGGGAAGGTGGCAGGTGAGCGCAAGTCTCGCTTCTCCCCGTCCCAGCCAGGACAGGCCCGGCCCAGCTCTTACCTGCAGGCCAGCTGCTGCTGCACGTCCTTCTCCAGCCGCTGCCCAGAGAGTCTCTTCGCCTCCCTGGAAGGTGGCCCTTGTGCTAGCTGGGTTCTTGCTCTGGGGAGGGTGGCGCCTGCTCCCTGGTCAGCTGACTCACCCAGGACTGGGATGGGCCAGGTAAACAAGGCAGGTGGCCGGGCCGGAGGAGGACTTCGGTCTTACTCCAGCAGTGGAGGTGGGTTGGGGCACACATAGCTGCCGCCGGGAGGGTGTGAACCGACTTCTTGGTCTTGAGGAAAGTGGGTTTGGATGGGACCCCCAGTCCTGCTGAACATGAGGGGAGTTGGACGGGTTTCCAGGGTCTTCAAAAACGGCCAAACCTTGTGACCCAGCATGTCTGCTTCTAGGAATTTGTTACAAGAAAATAAGTAGGCAGTGAGGTCCCAGGGCCCAGCACCTTGTGGCTTATAAGAGGGGAATCTAGAAATCCCAAATGCCCATCACTAGAGGCTGGTTCAGTAAGCCAGTATCTGTGGAAGTTCACAGAGCCGTTCAAGGTGCTTAAGGAAAGAGACCATGAGGAAGCGTTCCTGAGACGCTGGCAG